TATGATTGGTGTGCTTCTAAAAATAATAATATAATTTTATTGATTTTGTCTCTTATCCATAATTATTTATATAACTAGTTTTCAACATATATTGTTTTAGTAATTCAAATGAGAGATTCACGAGGAAATAATAAAGAAAAAGGAAAAGAGAAAGAAAAACTATGAAGCTTGGACCAAGGAGGATTCCGATGAATTGTTACAATTGATAGTAGATGCTATAAAAAGAGGATAGAATATTATGGAGAATTATCATTATTATTTATCTAGACATTATTATTTTTATTTTTTTTTGTCTTTAACTCTTTTTAAATTTGAATGTATGCATTTTTTTTAAATCTTATCAAATGTCAAAACTCTACAAAATCTCACAGAATCCATTAAAATCCTGATTTAAAAGTCTTGCAGAATCCATTAAAATCATGATTTTAAGTCTTATGGAATCTTGCAAAATCTTAAAAGTCATAAAAATCTTGCAAAGTCTTTTAAAATTCGCAGGATTTTTTTTAACTAAAAAAATCCTTTAAAATCCTAATCCAATACACCTCCTTAGACTTTAATTTTGTATAACAAATTCGAACTATATATTCAAAGTCTAACATAAGATGATGTATTCTCATCCTTACTTTTACTCCTTGCCTTTCTCCTTTCTCCTTATATTTCTATCTATCTTTCTCATTCTTTGTCTCTCTCACTCCCCCTTTATTCCTCTCTCCCTAGCTCTCCTCCTCCCATCTTTTTCCTTCCCTCCCGTATCTCTATTTTTCTCTTTCATTTGTTTTATTATTTTTTGATTTTATTAATTTTAATAATATTATTAAAGTTTATTTTATTTTTACATTTTAATGGTATTTATTAATATTTTTTAATTTGAGTGAAATAAAATAATATATCTTTATTCTTCTTCATTATAATGTAACATTTTATTATTATTTTTCGTTGAATTTTATATTTAAATAATTTTAATAATTTTCAATTTTTTTTTAAATATTTTAATGTCATATATGTAATAAGGTTGGAATAAATAAATATATTTAAAGAGTTTATTTTAGTAAAAAATATTTTTTATAAAAAAATATTTATATGTATAGACATATACTATTGTAATCAAACATAAAAAATTTTAATTCTCATAAATCTAGAAACTTTTATGAATAATCAAACATATTTTAACAAAAAAAAATTTAAATTGAGTATGAAAAAAACTTTTTTCCTATCAAATGTCTCCTAAGAATAATCGTCCCATATTAAAATTGAAATTGCCTAATGTTAATGTTTCTTGTTGAAAGAAACTAAGGTTAAGTTTAAATATTTATTTACCCTTTATAACATTATTAAAAATAATTTTTTACCTTTATGATAATGAACAATAGTAAAATAACATTTAGTTTCATATGATTTTACATTTATTAACCTGTTATGTGGACATTAATAATCAAGTTAGTCATAATTTATTAAAGTATAGCAACACCAATGAAATCTAACCCTAAAAACCAATTTATGTGATAAAAAAACTAATTTAACCATTTTTTATTTTTGTAGGTACAAATATTTTATTTTAGTGTTTATTTTTCAATAATTATAATGTTGGTAAAGAGTATTTACCGTCAAAATTCAAACTTTAAACAATTTGATTAAGAAATACAAGTTGTTATTACTCGTATCAACCAATGTTCCTATAACAATAGATAAAAAATATATTGATTTTTTATTTTCACTTTTTTTAAGATTATTTATTTTTTAATTAATTTATCTGTATTATATTTTTATCATTATTTTTTATTTTGACTAAAGACCATCCATTCGAATAATTGAACAATTATACATTCTTTTTTTTTAATAACAACTGATAACCATATTTTTCTATCAAATAAAATCACCATTATTTCTTAAACTATAATTTGTTGACACTAAGTATAAGTTAAAAAAATGTAAAAGAATTTTTGTATCTTCAATAATTTTTTGTATAATGCAAATTTAATCGATTCAACTATTGAATTATATAATATCATGCTTATGATCATGTATATTAATTTCACATGATTTGAACTTTTATAGATATATTACCCAAAAATAAATATTTACACATATTTCAAATATCATATTATACATCAAAATAAAATCACGTGATAAATTACTACATAATTTTGAAAACGTGTGAAATTAATATACATAATCTTAAGTATAATATTGTATATTTTAATAGTTGAATTGATTAGTTTACATTATACAAAGAATTATTGAAAGTATAAGATATGGTGTAAATTTTTAGACATACAAATGATGTTAAGAGATCTAACTTTTATTTCTTTTAGTAATCTCTATTATTTTCATTTTTTTAAAATAAATATATGTAAAAGCACATAATGTTTCTTTCTCTCAAGTTTATATAATTTTTTCTTTGTAGTGCCCTTTTTTTATAAATTTTTTATTTAGTTTATGAATAAAAAAGTTGTATGAATACAAAAATTACTTTTTAGTATTTTTATAGTAAATAAACAACATAGATTAAAAAAAAAGTTATATGAATAAGAAATAAAATAAAAACACTATTTAATTATAAAAACTAAAAAATAATATTCATGAATATATAATGATTAAATGAGTATTTAACCTGTAAAATATAAACATATTTTTAATTAAAATATTGTAAATTTAAGTTCCATGCACAATAGAAATACTTTTATCCTATTAATAAATTAAAAATCAAGGAGAATTATTGTTAGTCTTTTTTTTATTAAAAAATGGTAAATATGGGATGACACTTTCATGGATATTGGACAAATAGTCAATTACATGTTTAAAATTTTTAGACTAAGCATCATTGTTCACTTAGTGGTGAGTCAAAGTTCAGTAATGTCAATTTAATTTAGGATTTTACTTATCAAATTGAGAATTGGTAGAGACTCGCCAAGGAAATTTCACATATGGCACCAAGTGATCTCCTTGAGTAGGTATGTCTACTAAATTATGATTTTAATGGTCACATGGGAATATCGAACTCATGTCATGGAGAACTCAAATTCTAGTTGGATCTTAAACTATTTATGTCAACTTATGATGATTTACTCGAGTTAGTCTAGTAATAGAGAGTTATAAAAAATAATATAAAGGATTCAACCAATGAAATAATAGTTAATTTTTTATGTAATTATTTCATTTAATAACTTATGATCTACATTGAATTTCAACAATTGAATCGTTGAAATAAAAATTATTAATGAATAGATTAAATTTACAAAAATTTATAATTTTTTTTTTAATATTTTGTTACATAATTCAAATTGACATATATTTATACAACATGTCATACATTAATTTGAATTTATATAATAAAGTATCAAAAGTTTTTTAAATTTTGTAAAAATTTGTAAACTTAATCTATTCATTAATAATATTTATTTCAACAATTAGAACGTTGAAATTTAATGTAGATCTTGAGTTATTAAGTTAAATAATTTTACCAAAATTACTCATAGAATAACACACACATATATATAGAGAGAAAGAGTAGGAGTCCACTAACTCAAAGAATAAATTTGCCTAAGCTTACTTCACTTAATATTTTATGTTATATATTAAATTTCATTGATTCAATCATTGAAATAAAAAAAATTTAATGTATAGATCAATTTTGGAAATTTTAAAAAAATTTGAAGGCAATTTGATATTTCGTTTTATTAATTCAAATTGACGGATAATCATAAAAATATTTTATACGTTAATTTAAATTTATATAACTAAGTATTAAATAGTTTTCAAATTTTTAAAAATTTTACAGACTTAAATCTATGCATTAAGAACTTTTAATTAAACGATTATATATTTAAAGACACAATTATATAAACATGATTTTTATTGAAAGACCATGTAATTATTTAAAATTAAACATGGTTGATACAGTTCATTACATTATTTATGCGATCATAAGGTACACATAAAGTCTATTATTTTTTGAGAAAGTTCTTGAACCATTTTGCTGAGAGTTTTTGGTATCTCTTCAGACCATTTTTGAAGTCCACAAAGTTCATTCCAAATCGCACTGTATAACCATTAGCCCATTCAAAATTGTCCAGCAATGACCATACAAAATATCCTTTTACATTTGCTCCATCCCTTATAAAATAAAACATAAATAGTATTAAAAAACAAAAACAACAAAATAACTATTTTAAAACATATAAAAGATCATTGACTTACTTGATTGCATGTTGAAGATAGAAGAGATGACGATAATAATAATCTATTCTATGAGTATCTACAAGAGCTTCCTCAAGTGATAATGTTGGATCATTAAACTCATCGATACCTGCAAATTAAGTATAATATGAAAAATAGTTTTCATGACTATCTTCATTAGTATATTAACATAAAAGATAAAACACTATAACAAAACAAAATATGTTTGTGCATTGTTTAAGTGCCAAAATAAAATGTAAAGGGCATACAAATTTTAACTATATAGAAAGTCGTTCACTAATATTTTATTGGAACAAAAAAAGAAAATTACCAAAAGAAACATAAAATAATAAACAAATGAGAGATGTAAAATATAGAAAAGTCATGATTATGCTTGTGTGGAATAATGTCACGTTTTTTTTTTATTATCAAAAATTCAAGAGACTTGTGAATTATTTTTTATATAATGTTCATTTTCATGTTTAAGTATAGGAAACAAAAAAAAAAGGTCGAAAGGAACTGTAAATATTTAATATAATAACGAGGTTTTTCAGTGTTACATGAAAATTATTGTTTGATAATGGTTTTATTTGTGAGATGCTATCAATTATTAGATTCTATAAATCTAATATAAAATTTTATATAAATTGAATTATTGAGTTTTATGAATTTATTGGTTTTTGGTATTACGTGCATAATAACAAAAATTAAATATCACATATACATTAGTATATTGCCACTAAAGAGAAACAATAATAGCTAGTAGAAAATCGCGAGTAAAGTGACAAGTCAAATAAATAGTTAAAAAGACATTACAAAAATGTAAGATTAAAGTTGGATTGATAAGAGGAATTAAGAATATTGAATAGTACGTCCACAGTATAACAACCTAACCATATATGATGAAAAGAGTCTAAAATACAACAAAAGAGAAGTTAAAAATAATTAGATTTATATGGTTTAAAAAGTATAAAAAAAAAATTTGAAGGAAACTTAGGTGTTGGTTCCATAGCCCACACTTCACTTTTTTTTTTTTTTTTTTTTAAATAATGTATGGTAAAAATCACATTATGTTAATAGTCAACTTTAAACATTACGTAGATCAATTTTACGAAGAAAAAAAAATAGCTATACATATAACCATTTTTATATGTAAATTTACTTCACAACAACATTAAAGATTAATAAACATGATATTCAATATAAAATTACCATTTTCAGTAATGTAAATGGATGGATTGTTGTACTTGTTCTTGACATAGAGTAATAATTCACGAATTCCTTTGGGATAAACATATAACCAACTTGAAGCAGCCTGTAAATGCAATTACAAACAAAAGTTATACACACACATATGAAATCAAACATTTTAATAATGATACGTAGTTATAATTTAACGTAGCTATACATATATACGTACATTTGAACCTATGGGAACCCCGTTGCGTTGAGCTGTGCTCACAAAACCATAGATAAGTTATTATGAAAGGTCAACACATATATACACAAATTATAAAGTAAATAAACATAGACATTCTTACTCGTAAGTTTGGCATGAAAATCAGTGAGGTAACTGGGTCTAGCATTCCTTAGTTGAGGTGCATCACCAGCATAATTAGCAGTGTAATAATTTAAACCAATAAAATCAAATGAACCCACTACTAATTTGGCTTGTTGTTTTGAGAATTTTGGCAATCGTCCTCCAACTAGGGATCGCATGCTTTGAGGATAATTTCCTGTTGTTAGTGGCTCTATAAACCTGTAATCATTGTTACAAAGTACTTAACTTGAGAATCATTTTTGTTGTGTTTTGACTTTATATATATGCTTTATTTTAGTGATAAGCGATCATCAAGTAATGCTTATGAAACTTTAAATTAAACTCTTGAAAACAAACGGAGAAAATGTTTTAAGGCCTTCGTCTTGGACATAAAACCATGAATTAGAATGTCAAGCCTTTTCTCAATATTATAATTTGTATAAGGTAGGCATGACAATGAGACGGGGTGGGGCGGGTTTTATGTTCTCTGCCCCCGCCCCCGCAGATTTAAACCGTCCCCGCTCCCGTCCTTGATACTCACTGAGAGTAAAATTTGGGTATCCGTCCTTGTTTCCCGCAGGGTTCGGGTTTCCCCACTCGCCCTTGCTCCTACCTTTTTATTTTATTTTTTTCTTTTTTTATTTCTAATAAATATGAAAAAATTTAAAAAATAAATAAAATAAAAGTAAAATAATACAAATTTTTATATATAAATATTTCTAATTTTGGTTTATATATATATAAATAATTTTTTAATTATATTATTAAGCGGGGCAGGGACGGGTACGAGGATGCAATCAAGGAAAACCCAAACTCAAACCCAGTAAACACGAGTTTTTTCCGTTCAAATTAGGACGGGTACTTACGAGAATGAGTTAGATTGTCATGTCTGATATAAAGTGGTAAATATTGAGAAGATAGTTGAGTAATTATTGATGACCCACATGAAAGACAACCTATAAATAATGTCTTGAAATAAAATCAGTCCAAAATGGAGTGAGATTGAAAACAAAGGAAATATGAGATAGAAAAACAAATACCTAATCAATAAAAATAATGTAGTAATTTGGAGTTTTTGACACACATGTGCATTAATTGATTAAATTCTAAATCTTAAACCTTAAACACACATATATTGTCTTAATTAATGACTAACTAATTCATGTTTATTTAGAGAATGATTATATTATATTGTAAATTTAAACATTACCATCCAAGCATGAAGTCAATTGCTCTCCCAGCAGCATCTTGGTCTAATTTTTTATTTGAAATTGGCACATACCAATGAGAGACAAGGGTTATGCCTATTGTACCTTTTTGAGATGTCTACATATATAAAATGTTTTGGATGTGAGACAACAATAATAGCAATAGCACTTATAAACTTATAAGTTAAAAATTCACTTAATAAAGTTATAATAAACCTGATACTTCTTTTTGTACACTTGAACAGCTGCTGCATGAGCAAGAAGTAGGTGATGTGAAACTATATAAGGCTCTGTCCCTGAATCACCACCAATGCATTTTGGGTTCGACCATTTAGAACATCGACCTGGTGCTTTCACTCCAGTTGCATAGCCACCAGTACTATAAGTATATGGTTGATTTAAAGTAACCCAATGTTTCACTCTATCTCCAAATTCCTTGAAACAAACTTCAGCAAAGTCTTGAAAATCATGTCTGGAAAATAATCATGGATTTTGATATTACTTAGTATACAAGGTTTAAAATTTTATATTGAGAAATAGTATAAAAATAGGAAAAATAAAAAAAATATATATATGTTTGACACATCAAGTGATTCTTTTACTTATCATTGTTTTGCTTTGCAACATTGGGTCAAATTTACTTTCATGTGGGATAGTAAGATTTTGTAATTTGGTTAATTAATCTAAATTACCCTTAACCAATACCTTATAAATATGAGATTATGGCATCCCTAGTGCCACAATATAATTTTATTTGGCCGTTTAAAAAAAAACGTGTGCATCATATAAGTTTAGAACCTATATTCCTTATAGAATCTCATGACATGTTAAATATGAAAATACTAATATGCTTTATTTATAAAAATATTTTTTTTATTGTTAAAAGGGATAAGTTGAATTACATTTTGTGTACAAATTATGAAAATTGGTATCCAACGTGAAATTGTAAACATATATTGAAGATGATTTCTTATTTATAACGTTATTTTTAATAATTATGTTCATATATTTATATGTTTGAAAAACTAAATTAAATTGTCAATACAATATTTAGAATTGGAATTTCATTCCATTAGAAATATTTATCTCATACACACGCGTACACACAAAATATTATATAATTATTTATAATAATTATAATTTATATAGAAATTAAATTTTGTATCACTTACATAATACGAGGGTTTAAGAAGCCGCCATACTCATCTTCCAAAGCTTGAGGAAGATCCCAATGAAAAAGAGTCACAAATGGTTGTATACCTATAGTATTAAATTTAATCAACAAATTGTTATCAATTGCTAAGAGAAATATTCACATGTAAATTTTAATAAGAAAAATATAGTAAAGGAAGTTTAGATTTTTACCATTAGCTAATAATTCGTTGATGAGGTTGTTATAATATTTGATTCCTTCCTGATTTATACCTCCGTTCAACTTTCCCTCTGTATAGTTTATGAGAAAAATTGAAAAAGTCAATTATATATAAACATCCATTAAGGTAAAATTAAATAAAAAATTATGAATATATCTTCAATATTTAACTCACTTGGGAGAATTCTTGGCCAAGAGATGGAGAATCTATAAGCATCCAAATTCATATACTTCATGATCCCAACATCTTCCTGTGATCAATAAAGATATACAATAGGCCATCATTTTATTAATAGGCCATCATTTTATTGTACATGGCAACAAAAATATTAAAACGAAGAGGAAAATTAGAGTTTTTATTTTAGTCTACTATATTTTTTAATTGAATTGAGTTGGCTCAATTTAATAATACACGTACTTTTATTTTCATTTTTTGAATTAGTTTACAGTCTGATGGAAATATAATAACAATATCATATCGATGGAGCAGAACACTTTTATATTGTTAATTAATAAATAAAAAAAATTATCGTTACTACTTTAGTTTTTAATTTTTATCATAAAAATAAAAAAAGTTACATACACTATGATTTGCGATTAGATAATGGTATGAAATAATTTTAACATTGTCAATTCAGAGCTTATTTTCTCTTAAAATTATTACACTAAATGTGACTATTTAATAAATAATACATTTATAAGATTGAAGTCTATCATTAAAAAAAAACTCATTATAATAAAAACGTTTTGAAGGTCAGTATAAAATAATACAATATAATTAACTATATGAAAGATGATCAGATATTAAAAAAAAAAAAAACATAATACATTTTGCTTATTTGAAGGTCAATATAGATCAACCTATTTTTCGTAAGGCAACTTGCATCGAACTATATACTAAAATTTTGAAATCGCTCAAGTTAGTCTAAAATAATTTTAAACTTAAAATTTAATAATGTAATTTATGTTTTATAGAGAGCAAATCAAATTCACCCATAAAGAAAATACAGGAGCCTCAATTTTCGTTTGATTTTATTTTACACTACACTTTTACTTTACGAGAGATTTATTGGTTTAGGATTTTATAAGATTTTAAAAAATTTTTTTAAGTAAAAAAATTTGTTGATATTTAATTGGAATTTTATGTCACTTAAAAATAATCTAGTGGTATTCAATATGAATTTTTAAGATTTTTTAAAGAACCTATTAAAATTCATTAGTATTCATTTGAAACTTTTTACAACTTAAAAATAATTCATTGATATTCAAAAATATAAAGATTTTAAAAGATTGTTGTATTAAACGGATTTTGAAGGACTTTTTAATAGTATTTATAAATACCAAATTCATAAAACAATCTCATCCAAACCCATCATAATTTGGAGGATTGTTTAAAGTGATTTTTAAGTGTTTCAAGAATTTTCAAGTGAATTTTTCATCTCTATTATTTTTCTGTGCTCTTGTATTCTCTATTTTTTTCTCTTCTATTTGGTGAAATTATAGTATGTAAATGACAGTATCATTGACTTATTCTATTTTTTTCTCTGTTCTCTTTAATTGAGTTGTTTTTATTTTCATCTATTTTTTTTGGTTCGTCCCTGGAGTATCAAGGCCGATAGCAGTGACTAATCTCCTCGCTACGTTGGAGGCACCTCAAAGGGTAGGATAGTTGGCCCCAAGATTTAACGCGGCTGCATACACAAGGCAGGATTCGAACCCCTGACCTTGCTTAAGCGTGGATCAACCCCTACCGCTGAACCACACGTTTGGAGTTTTATTTTCATCTATTTAGTTGAGTTTGTTCCTCATATATATATTATAACAAAGAAAATGTTTGAAATTTTAACTTTTAAGTAATAATTTTTTTTATAACGCGCGCGTCAAGAAAAAGGAAAGGTGAAAGCTGAAATTGATATCATGATCTCAACAATTACAGCGCTTAAGATCATCAGGGTGCCTTAAGTAGTTGAAGGTGACAGTAGGGTTGTCCTCCACGTTCGTGTTTACCAACCTGAGCTCACCTGTTGACATAGGGTAGGCAACTTTTGACAATATGAAACCTCCCATGAATTCTTCATATGGTACGTCTTTGTTGCTATTCACAATAGGTTCTACACCTTCTCCTGGTCTTTGCTTTGGTGGAGTTGTGGACGGCTGTTCTTCCTGGTGTATCATGTAAATGGAAAAAATGATTGTGTGTGGACATTGCTAACTAGTTGCTAATTTACTATGATCATGTTTTATGTTTAGCATTGCTCTAGGGACCTTGTGATTATACATGCAATTTAAGATCAATTTCTAGTTAGTTGCCCAGTGTTTTTTGGTTATGATTAAGTTATTAAGCTAAATGCAAATTAGATTCTGAGAGTTATAGATGATGGCTACACAGAACTAGAGCTGCACTAAGCAATTACTCTAAGAAAGGTAGAAATTGGATAATTCATTTCATGCCTTAACAGTACAATTTCAGAAAGCTAAAAAGAGAATTGAAAAACGGTCTAAACATCTTACTCAATTGTTAAGCATTCCAACGTGCTATAACATCACTTGCACCCAGAATAAGTAAATTTAGCGAATAGATTGCATACCTCAGCTGACGAGGTACCATGGCGGTAGTGAATGCTGTCTCTGGTCTGGCCATACCCACTAGTAGCCTCAATGTACACACCAAATTTTGTTATACCAGCAACTTCTATGAGTGACTGCTCAACTGGTCTCTTGAAGGGAATAAGAATTGTGTTCATGGGGCTATCAGCCATGCCTTTCCCAACAAATTGGTTGTCAAGCACCACAGGGATGTTCAATTTCTGAAGATCAGATTTGGGGCCAATTCCACTGATCATTAGCAATTGAGGACTCCCAATAGCCCCACTAGACACAATCACCTCACTCTGACTGTAAGTTCCAAGAAATGCCTCATGCTGCTTCCCATTTTCATCCTTGAAAATAACCCCCTTAGCTTTTGGTGCTTTTCCTACAACAGTACAATTTCAGAAAGCTAAAAAGAGAATTGAAAAACGGTCTAAACATCTTACTCAATTGTTAAGCATTCCAACGTGCTATAACATCACTTGCACCCAGAATAAGTAAATTTAGCGAATAGATTGCATACCTCAGCTGACGAGGTACCATGGCGGTAGTGAATGCTGTCTCTGGTCTGGCCATACCCACTAGTAGCCTCAATGTACACACCAAATTTTGTTATACCAGCAACTTCTATGAGTGACTGCTCAACTGGTCTCTTGAAGGGAATAAGAATTGTGTTCATGGGGCTATCAGCCATGCCTTTCCCAACAAATTGGTTGTCAAGCACCACAGGGATGTTCAATTTCTGAAGATCAGATTTGGGGCCAATTCCACTGATCATTAGCAATTGAGGACTCCCAATAGCCCCACTAGACACAATCACCTCACTCTGACTGTAAGTTCCAAGAAATGCCTCATGCTGCTTCCCATTTTCATCCTTGAAAATAACCCCCTTAGCTTTTGGTGCTTTTCCTACAACCATATCATCACAAAAATCCTACGAAATCCTAAACCAATACACCCCCCTAAACTTTTATATTGTGAAATTATGATTTTTTTTTATATTTTTAAAAGGAAATTAACATAAGACATTATGGTATTTTAGAATTTAATACTAAAATATTTTTTTTTTCAAGTGAATAATTGAAAGTAATTAAAAATTTAAAAAAATTATCTTTGACTTTTTTTTAATTTGAATATATGAAAAAAAAATTTAAACTTTTATCATATATAAAAAATTCATAAAATTTTGCAAAGCTTACCAAATCTTACATAATCCATTAAAATCTTAACTTAAAAATCTTGTAAAAATTATTAAAATATTAATTTAAAATCTTACAAAATCTTACAAAATATTAAAAATAATAAAACTTCTACAAAATCTTTTAAAATTCGCATGACTATTTCCTTAAAAAAAAAACCATTAAAATCTTAATCCAATAAAGTTTCTATTGTATATTTCATTTGCCAATTAAATCCCATTACGATTAATGGATGTTGCTTCATAAATCATAATTATATTAAAAAAAGGATCATGTTTGGTTCTTTAGTTGGTTCTGTCACCATAGATCTCGAATATAGGATGTACCTTGTAGCGGTGATATTGGTCGACAGCGACATCTCCAGTACTTCTATCCACTATCTTATCTGCACGTTGCATATTTATGAAAAATGATGAATATACATTTTATTTTTAGGTACAGGCCGTAAAAGAAAAGAAAAAGATAGAAAAACATAAAAGAAAGTACAACTCCAATAATAATTAATGTGACGAAAAATAAAATAGAAATGAAATAAAAAGGAGAAAATGAATATAAGACAAAAGTAACTCCATATTTATTATTCAATTAACGATTTGTATAATTTTAAAAAAAATACAAATAAACATGTTATATATGTGAGAGAGAGAGGTAACCCACTATATAAATTAAAAAAAAAAACTAAATTACATTTTTAATCTGCTGATTCTAAATTTTAATTAGTTAATTTTATAAAATTCATAACTTTGATTTTACAACTAAATGTTTATCTATGAACTGTTAAAATCGTAAAACTAGTTAAAATAACACAAAAATAACATTTTTTTATTAAACACTCTCTATATATAATTTATTATGGCACTTATTTAATTAAACATTTTTTTAACGTTTCATGTTTTAAAATACAGTACTTATTAATAAATATTATCTAAATAGTACTATCTATTGTTGATGTAGTGTTTCTTTATAAAAATTTTGGTCAACGTTGAATCTAACTTTACATTTTAAAACCTTTTTTTTAACGGTATATAGATTTTTTTTTGTTGAGAAGCTTGAAATATATTTGACTTTTTTAAAACCTTTTTTTATCTGTATTTAAATATTATTTTTGAATTTAAACCGAATCAATTTTAGTTTCTTATAATTTATTGTGAGGGAGGATTTGAAAGTTATGACGAATTGTAAGCTTACGTACGTGAGTAGTGACTGTGGAATTGCAATGATATAATAGAAACAAATTAAAGAGTTGTGGTGAAGGAACGATAGACAGGGAAGATTTTGCTTTATTTTGCTTGTCCGTGATTGCATGTGGCTATTATACATTTTAGAGAGAAAAAAGGTTGAAATTTACCTGGATATTTATGGGTGAAGGTGTCCCATATGCTTTGTCCTTTACCACCATCTTTTGCTCCACCTTCGTACTGTATTTAATGAGCAAAATAAAATCATTAATCAACTTTATTTGACTGCATGTCCAAATAGTTTATAACTTAAAGTATTGAAGGCTTTCCATAAAGAGGGTTACTTAAAGGGATATTTTCAGCAATTGGAATGGGGCCATGCGTCTTTTGATATTTCTAATTATTGATTAGTTTCCTCTTTAATGGTCCCACCAAATTAGTTGTACATTTAAAAATGATAAGTGCATTCATGGACCCAGCTCAAACCAACTAAGAGTATAACACTTTATTTATTTGTGTGTGTGTTTTTTTTATCTATAAAAATTACGATGATAATTACATATAACATATTCTATCAAAGAATATCTATTTCAGAGAATATCTATTTCAGAGTTCACTTGAATAAGTTTATGAATTATTATAAATCCTTTAATATTGTTTTCAATTTTTATAGATAAAAAATAAATAAAATCACTTATTTTAGCTGAACTCCACCAACATAGCTACGCATTTTTTAATGATTGTTTGCAACTGGTAGGATTGTATAGCATGTTTGGTTGCACGTTCAAAACGCGATTCAGAGCAAAACTTATGTTTAAAACGTAAAAATTATAATTGATAACTTTCATTTTCATGTGATTTATCACGTTGAAAATCTGAACGACAACACTTAGTTACTAAACAAACAATGGAATATTTCCATCCTCCTTTCTTCTTACTTTTTTTCTTCTTTTTTTATATTTTATTTTTAACCGAGCAAAGAGAGGTTTAAACAAGAATTCCAGGAGCAATTCTTTATTATGAAATCTTTTCATGAGGAAGAGACGAAGTTTCATTTTGAAAAAGATTTTGAAGAGTTTCTTTGTGTTGAAAATAAGAAAGTATTTGCGGCATAGAAATTCTAAAAATCACATTTGACTTGTGTTCAAAGTGAAGGGTACGAGGCAAATAAATTTTCAAAGTCTCCTTACAGAATAACAGTGATAATTTAGGGAACTCAGATCCAAAGACACACTCTCTTATGGTAACTCAAATCACTAACTATATATAGTGATGTGGTACCACAATTACACAAAGATCTTTGAAATTGAGGTAGGGGTTGATGTTACTAGGATTAAATCCTGAAAATATAGTGTTTGGTTTAGCATTAACTTTTGGAACATGAACAGTGCATTGATTACATAGGAATTTTGTTATACCTGGTAGGACGCGGATCCTGCCCCAAAAATGAAGCCATTGGGAAAAGTACTTCGATTAAGAGAAGAAACGTCGAGAATAGGAGCAACAGGTTCTCCAACAGTGAAGGAGGGTAATGTGATAGCAAAAGCGAAGAGGGAGAGAAGTAAAAGCACGTTGTGAGCCATATCATGTGATGATTCTGCTCAGTGCAGAACTTAGAGTAAGATGCTCTCTATTTTATACACAAAGTGAGGGTACATGTGTTTCACGCCTTTGTAAATTGTTTTTTTTAAGGTGTTTGGCACGACTTTTTTTTTTAATGAACTGGTATATTTTTTTTAGGAGATAATCTTGTTTGGATATGTGAGATTATTATGGGTGATATAGCATTTTTTTTTTAATATTTAATACATATGTATATTTAAGATTCAAATTCAAGAGTCAAGAGTAAGATTCAAGATCTGATTAAGCTAAAATAATTCCATAGTGGTTGGTGCACAAGTTTGTCATAAGATATATATTTTTTTATTATCAAAAAATATTTTTCATTGAACATAAAAACAATCATTAGTTTGAGACAAATACTAAATAAATAAATATTTCTTCTTAACTCAAATTTTCTAATAAGTTTTATGCATTTGATAAGGTATGTGTGATATACATTTATGGATTTGATTTGATTAGAGGTAAGTTGATTGAATAGGTATGTGGACACGTGTTAATTATGTTAATTATTATATATATATATATATATAATATGTTTAGTTTAATGACTTATTAGCTCATTACACTTTATAACTCAGTTACTTACAACAAAAATAAATATTTATACCTAAAATTAATATATAAATAATAAATAGATATATGTACAATAATCTACTATTCAAATAATAAATCTACTATTCAAATAATAATTTTTAGATATTAGTCAAGAAACACAACTAAGTCACTTACATCAGAGTATTTTAAAAGACTGACACTACCACTATTCAACATAACCTAAAATTTACTACGCCTCCGATCTATTCATGTTCTGCTCCCGTATAAATCTATAATTCATATAAAAAATTTAAAATAGGATAAAATGAATAATAAAAGTATTAAATTAGTATAAACATCATACCCAAATATATCTAAATTAGAAACATAATAATACATGGAGATAAGTATGAGAGAAAATTAAGAGAAAAAAAATATAACAAAAATATATATTTAAGTCAAACTCATCATGTTTCACGGTAACATCCTTAATTAAAGTTAAAAATGAGAAGACAAAAGAAAGTGTGAAAAAGACTTGTTAAACATCGAGATTCTTTATTAAAAAATAGTAACCTGCTACTCTTTGTTGAAGCAGTCAAAGTCGCAATGATTTAAATAAATGATGCATCATGCTTACGTGCTACTAGATATTGAGAAAGATAAAAGGATAGAATTCATACAAATATGAACATAATAAGTGATCAAATAAAGAAGAAAAAATAACAAAATCAATAATGAATGTAGATATAATATCAAACGAAAAAAACTAAATGTAAGTATTATCGTTCGAGTGTATTGTTGTAACCCGGGGTTACCACATGATTTTACTTTTTGATATTATCCAAAAGACATTTCTACCAATGGAGATAATCGTGTATATATAAACTCATATCTATTTTTTAATTTGAGTAATGTGGGACTTTGCTTGCATTCTAACAATTCTCCCCAAATAAAGAACCACAGTTTAACCTCTGCAGTGAAAATTATTGATCCATGAATATTATCCGATAGTGCCACAGAGCTCACTCACGTTCTAAGTACTTGCATTGTTGCTCCATCGTGACCTCACGATAGCGAGACATGCCTCCTAACTCTTCATGTTACTAGGAATACTCTTTTCTACATGGATCCATCGTTAAGAAGACTTTCGACACAAGAGATCCTATATACCCAGACCCACCTATCAATTCCATCATACTCGTCGAGCCAATCATACTCGTCGACCATTAGTCTGATCAGGTGACCGACTAAATGAGTATAATGGAATTGGCAGGTGGATTTTGGTATAGGATCTCTTATAACAAAAGTCTTCCTAATAGTGGGTCCATAGATCGATATAGGAGTGTGGTAACTGTTAAGTCTCAATTATACCTCTTTTTGGACAAGACTTAATGAACAATTCCACTCATTCTTTGAACCACTGCAATATAATTGTTCTCCTTTTGATCCATTTTGTGTGCAGATATAACTAACCCAAATTTAGCTAACAATACCTTAATACACCTCATTTTTTGTGCAGGTATTGAGCTAGATACTTGAGGATTGAAGACCCATAGGATTGAAAATCTAAGAAGTTAAGGAGTAGAGAAGAGGTTTTGTGCCGGGCGCATGATGACCCGCGCCGGGCTTGAGCAAAACAGAGTATCTCACCTCTAGAAGGCATTGCGCCAGGCGTAAAAGGAATTGCGCCGGGCGTGTCCTGAGGCAGATAGTGCTTAAATTCCCTGGAAGACCTGCGCCGGGCGCGAAGACTTATGCGCCGGGCGCGTAAACCCTAATCTGACTCCCCAAGCTCGTATTTGAAGACATTTTCGGGGCTCTTCTCCTCATTCACACATTGGGCGCGTTTTGGGAGCTATGGAAGGGATTCCCGGAGCTTGGAGCCGTTCGTGTGTGGATCTTTCCTTCGGTTCTTCATTTCTCCCTTCATCTCTATTTTGTATTTACCCTCATTGTTTTGAGTGGTTCTACCCATTTTTTGTGGGGTTAGATGTAACCAACGTATTCTATTGTAATCCTTACGTTTTCAATGATATATATATTTGTTGTTCATTCATTGTTGTGTATGTTTCTTTTCTTAATGCTTGCTTTGGATTGATTCTCCTTGCATGATATAGGTTCCATTGGGTATTGAAAAATAACCATTGAAACTAGCTCTGAAACAAATGCCTAGTGGGAAATGTATCTAGGAATGGAGCTTGGCCCATTAGTAGTCTTAAACCCTAGCCCGTAATGCGGGTGTAGATATTGGGTACTCAAGGGATTGATATTCAATATCCGCACATAAGCTCTTGCTCTAAGGGATTAGGTTTGAGTAAACTTATGGGTTGACTAAGCAATGTATGTAACAAGAGATTAAGGATTCATCAGTGTAACGTTCGGTGAAATCTGACCCCACAATCTCATAAAACCATTATACCATTTCTACCCTTTTCCACTCAACCAAACAAATTTTATAGTTTTAACATTCCAGTAGTCATGCTTTTCAATTCACATTTACATGACAAACTACAAAAATGGAATTATTCTTTAGTCACGAATAGTCAGTAAATGCTTATGTTACCTTATAATTCCTGTGGATATGATAATTTTACTACTTGAACGGCCGATATACTTGCCGTGTTTGAGACCGTTGATAGAATTAAACTGATTTACAATTATAACAAAAGTGTTTCAACGGAAATCTCAATAGTAACATGGAGGGTTAATAGGCGTGTCTCATTCACGATGGAGCGATGGTGCAAGTACTTAGAGCGTGATTGAGCTCTATGGGCCACCATCGAATATACTCATAAACTAATAGCTTTCACTAGAAAAAAGGGGTAGAACCATAGTCCTTTATTTGAGGGGGGGATTGTTGGGATGCAAGTCACATCATTCATGGGTTTATATACACATGTCTCCATTGGTAGAAAGGTCTTTTGGATGATATCCAAAAGCAAAACCACGAGGGCTACACTCAAAGCAGACAATATCTTACTAATGTGAAAACACGTATATGTGTGTAGTAACCCCAGGTCACAACAAGTATAAATAAAAGGAAGAAACAATCATAAAGAAAAATGAAAGAAGAAAGAGAAATCGATAAATATAACAAATTGTGTGATAATAAATGAAATTAGAGATAAAAAAAATGGAATGAATATGAAAGAAAAGAAAAATTAGATGTGTGGTATAATAACTCTATCAAAAGTGTAAATCATATAAATGTTATTTTAGAAAATGTTTTGTCTAATTAACTATTATCTTAAAGTCAAAATTTAAACCATTAGGGTTAGCTTAGTGGTTGGGTGGGGAGAGATTGTGATAGTTAGAAGCATGAGGACCTAAGTTCGATCCTCATTGCTACCATCTTTATAATCTTTCCTATCTTTATTAAAAAAAGTCAAAATTTAATTTATTTGAAAATGTTTGTAAAAGAAAAAAATAATTATATATAAAAGAAAACTATTTTGAATTTTACTTGATCTAATAAGATTATAAGATTGAAGTATAGGTCTACTTGATAGTTGATATTCAATTATGAAATAGTTAGTTAAAAATGTGTGGAAAAGTCTAAATCAATCTAATCCATATTAAAAAGTTTGATTTGTTTTGAGAAAAATCTCAACTAATTTATTTTGTAAAATTGATTCGATTATTCGATACATTTTTGTAAAGTGGATCAATTCAATTTTGTTAAAAAATTTATTAATACATATAGATATAAAGTGAATAACTGCCATACATTGAACCCATTTAATCTTAAAAATCTTATTCATATTTTTATAAAAAATTGAATTAATCTATTTTGTAAAAAAAGAATCGATTAATTGATTGAATTTTATAAAACAGGTTAATTAACCAATCGCTTTTATAAAATTGTTTAGTTTGAATGTTTTAAAAATCTACACCATGAACACTCCTAAAATCTCTCATAATATTTTAAATTTAACAACTTAGACTATAACTGTATATACTTTTTTTTGCATAATATTGACAAGAATATCTACTAACTTCACTAAAAACTAATCTCTCTTGAAACCTAAAATAGATTAAAACTATCCTTTCTAATATTTTTTTATATTATCAAATCTAACACTTAAATTCAAGACCTTAAGACGTGAGAATCAATTGCAATACCAATTATTTCAATGCATCTTAATTAAAATAAATTTTATATCTTAATGTAATTACTTAGAATCTTATATCAAATATTAAGAGTTACAAAAATGAGTTAACTATAATTGTATCTACCATCAAATATAAGACAAACAAATTATGTAAATCTAACATCAAATATTAAGAGTTACAAAATAAGTCAACCAAATTTAGCCTATTTAAGTCCTTACATCGAGGAGAGTTAACCTACATTTTATTTTCATCGTATTTTCTTCTCATCTCATTATGCATTTTTCACCAAATCACTAATCACATTTAACAGTTTTTTCACTATTTTTTTGTGTTTTTTTTTTATTGGTCCACTCAAAA